ATACATCCTGCAACACCAAGAAACCTGACCAAGAATACGATACATCCTGCAACACCAAGAAACTTGACCAAGAATATGATACATCCTGCAACACAAAGAAAACTGACCAAGAATTTGATTCTTTAATAAATTATATCCTATGATACACAAACTTCATTTTGCATAAAAACTCTGTGCTATCTTGTAAATTTTTTCTACAAATGTATACATCGGTAAAATATCTATTTCCCACGTGCAAAAATATTTTTTTCTTTCCATTTTTCTTTCCATTTTACTTGGCTCTCAAATTCCAATATTCGTCAGAATCTGTGCTCATAGTCTCAGGCATTTTCAATAGAGTGATAATCTTGTCTTCATCTCTGCGTTGCCAAAGCATTTCACCTTCAAAATCCACTAACTCTTGTTTCCTTGCACGCATCAACATTCCAACAAGCTTGTTAGAAATAGTCGTATAACGGTCAAATAGTTTTCCAAAGGTTATAATCACAGTCCCATTAGGTTGTTCTTTCCCAAGCTGTTTGATTATCTTGCAGAGATCAAATACTTCTTTACTTATGTGCAACCCTGCATATTTGCCTCTGGCTTCAGTGCGAGATCCAGCCTCTGGGCGGCCATATTCCTTGCCGTGCTTTGGAGGGTGAGACGCCATTGCTTAGTGCTCTAGTCGTGTAAAAAATATTTTGTTATATAATGAATATGAATGAATTGATAATATTAAGGGTAGAGGGGAAAGAGTCCGGCTAGACCAACACTCAGGGTCTTAATATAACTGAGAGGCTGCCTTTGAAATAACAACTACAAATGCTTAGAGCTCCACGTGGCTCGGATGACCACATACAATGGTGGTCCCGTCTCTCCACCAGTCGTTTCTGCGGACTGCAGAGTTAACAAAGAAACTGAAACTGAAACCTTTGTGCGTGACAAGTGAAACATATCTCGGAAGTGGGTAATTGTATGGCAGAATTTCATTTCATTTCTGAACCAAAATATCAGCCCAAACTTCAAATGTTGCGACAGTTCGTTCAGTTCCAAGCTACAAATGTACAAGCTACAAATGTACCGAGGCCGGAACATTTAGTATGAGTATCTGTGATAACTGGTTGACAACTAATAGAAGTCAAGTTTGAATTTAAAATGACACTACGAAAATACAAATAATGAAATATGATTTAATGAAAAAACGTACTGACGCTTCGGACGCAAGTCCTTCGTCGGGGTAAAAGAGAAAGAGGTGGTGGAAAGGAGTGTTCTCATTGGTTTCTTTTGTCTTGTTCTCAGTATATAAACAATCCTTTCTGCCACTACTCCGACGAAGGACTAGCGTCCAAAACGTCAGTAAGTTTATTCATCTTATCACGCTGTAAAATTTACCCTTTTATCATTACTTTTTCATTAGAAACACCGACACAGCTCACACTAGTTTTCAGCTAGTTATCTCTTCTTATGATTTAATGAGATTATTTTGTGGCGTGATTCTTCGGCGAGGGTTCGAAGATGACTGTGAATATATATGAATATATATAAGAGATGAGGCGGTAGCCGTGTGGGATGGGCTCGGAAATCATATAAGAACATGCGTAGTAGGTAAATTACGAGCCTTGTATGAAACGACAGCTGTCCTCGGTTTCTAGTTGAGCTGGCTCATTTTTTACGCGACTTGAAGTTGTAAAAGGCCCATTGGCTCTCTTCTTCAGTCGTTTCATACAATAATGTGCCTCAAAATGATGTACCTTCTTCAAGAACAGGGTGCGGCTACTATCTGTTTAATTTGTATTCACGTTGACTAGCATTTTTTGCAAGTCTTTTTTTTGCAAAGTAAGTATAGAATAAACATTTTCTTTATCTCATTTATACAAATTACAGAATGTATACTAGCCCCTTTTCATCACCACCATCATCATCAGTCACCACCATCACTATAAGTTAGCACCATCATCATCAGTCACTACCATCACCACCACCATCACCATCACCATCACCACCACCATTAAGATCACCACCACCATCACCACCACCATCATCATCAGTCACCACCATCACCATCACCATCAGTCATCACCATCATCGGCATCGTCATTGTCATGTCATCACCATCATCATTACCACCATCACTTAGCTGTACCTAAATGTAATTCAAAGCACAAAAAACTTATAGCAGGCTGTCCTCGTATCTTGTGAATGAAATTAAATAAATTCAAGTTGTATAAAATGAATGAGAGAGAGAATAAAAAAAACAAGGTATTTTATAACTGGGCTGTCACTGGTAACCCAATAACAATATATTTGTGGCCGAAAAAAATCTATTCTTCATAAAATAATCAAAGTGATTTTTTATTTCATTTTTTAAAAATTATTTTAATTTTTAACTAAAATGTTTAGTTGGACATCTACAGCATCTCTCAATTAGAGTTGTAATGTGTAGGTCCAGAAATTATCCAAGGAATTTGAAATTTCCGAGGGGTGGGGGGAGGGGAGGGTCAAAGAAAGAACAAAATAATAGAGTTTGTATGGAAGAAAATTGGAATTTCTTGGCATATGGTGAGGTGTATGGATAATTTCTGAATTTCTATAACTACACAATTTTATACTGGAGCCCTTGTATGTGTTCTTTAAACACAGTGAAGAAAATATGAAAAAAAAAATTTATAATTTCTACATGAATGTTGCGATCAGTCCCCCGTGTAAATTATTCACAGTTGAATGAAGGAGTATTGATAGTTGTAGAGTGCAGGAGGCTCCCTGTACCCTAGCAGTAATTATATCAAATAAAGTTCAAAATGGCAGACAAGAAAGTTACCATATTTAGATAAGTAAATTATGCAAAGTCAGATGTTTGGATTTAATTCAATGCTAATGTCAGCTATAAGTATGAGCAAATATGACTGACTGACTGACTGACTGAAGGATGGCTTGCTGATAGTGTAACTGACAAGCTGACCAATTCATCTTTTGAGTGCTAGCCATCATGTGGCATAAAATGTGTTGGATTGTGTTATGCTCACCAAGAAATTTGGACATTGTTCTCGGATTTCGAGTTAAAAAAAAAAATTTACTTGGTTTGTTTAGTTAGCTCTCTAAACACAAGCAAAACATTATTTCTCTAACTTAATTGAACTCTTTTTTACTGCTGTTTAGAAAAGTAACTAAAGAAATTGATCTAAATTTTCTTTCTAAATTCAGTGAATTTGTATGGGAATCTTTTGCTGACCATACCACAATCCAACATGTTTTGGTCCTAGACTCAAAAGGTGAATTACAGCCATTCTCAATCACACGCACTGCTCTAGAGATTGTTTCTGTCGCCATGAAGAAGCTTTTGGTGGACGTCAATCAAGGCGTTTCCATGACATTCTATAGGCACGTGCCCTTATAGCTTTGTGTTTTCTGACAATGTTATGGAAACACCTTGTGATTGACGTCCACCAAAACCATTTTCGTTGCAACAGAAAAAATTGCTAGAGGGCGTGTGTGATTGAGAATGGCTGTAAACCACTGATGAATTAATCTGACTGATTTGTCTTTCCAATGAAATTTAATCATTGTTGTGCATAAACATCGCTGGTTTTCAATCATTCCAAACAGAATGACATAACAAAAGCTATGGCAGCCATATTGGATGATATGACAAAATAGTTTAATGACTAATCTTTAGTTAGATTTATCAAACAAGGCGCTTGTGAAAACCATCAATATACACGTAGAAGCCAAGGTGACTGATATACAATCTGAACCAGGGACAAGACAATCAAGGACGTTTTTATCTCATATAAATATAGCTTAAAATCTTACATGATTAAGTCTTTTCTTGCTATCTTTCGATTTTCTAACAAGTTAAAGCTAAATCATAATAAGAATATTTATGTTTGAATACCTTAAAGACTTGTAATAGCCCTTGATCTGTGCGGTTACAAGAACATTTGCGTTCTGATGGAAGAAGGTTGATCACCATCAGGCGGCCATTTTTGTTGTGATGGTCAGCGGTCAGCTTATGTGTAACAAAAAGATACTGGTTACGGAAGGGGAGGGGAGGGTGGCGGGTGTGTGTGTGTGTGTGTGTGGGCATTCTTGCAATAATGCGTGCTTTGCAGGCTACTTTTAACTCGATTAGAGTGCCTGACATATGTCCTTAAAAGAAAATTGTATAAATTAGTGCAAAGTTTTTTAGGTCTACGGTCTACTGAGGTCTACTGAACTTCCTGATTCGTGCAAATTTGTACAATTTCTTACAAAGTCTTTTAGGGTCGTTGTCAAGTTGTATGTACTCTACCAAAGAAATATATTTGCGGTTTTAGTAAAAGCTAACTAAAAGTCTAGGTCTTCATACAATAACATCTCTTAACAACACAAATTTAAGCTCATTTTTTAATCATACTTGCTCGAACAGCTTAATAAACCTTTGAATAAATGGTCTAAATATATTTCATTCAATAATTAAATAAATTATCTGTAGAAAGATATAAAATTATTAAATGAAAGTCTTCAGCTATGTTTTGCCGATGGGACCCCGCGATAGGAGGCGAACAAAGCTGCATTTTTCGTGAACGAATAACATACGATAATTGGTTAAAAACAACCGAATTGTTAAAGATTTACAAAGCTAAATATAAAGGACGAATATCTGTTGTCGTAATATGCTCTCCGTGTTATATTTCCTCCAGCATTAAGATAGATTAAGCTTATCTATAGAATATAAAAAGTTTTGAGAGAAAGACTTTAATTTATCGATTCGTCGAGAAAAATGCTTGTCAAAAAAATATATACCGGATTGTTTTCTAAAAACACACACCTGAATTCTTGAAGAACGCTTCTTGATCCATCTTTGACTACGTGAAAGTTTTTCTTTTAATTGTTTTTAGTCTATAACTTGTCCTAAAGCGATTTTTTCTGTGCATTTGAGAGCCGCATTTGTGAGTAGTTTTGCTTTGACATCAAGCGGGATTCCTGTGTCGTGTACACGGACGTACTTATGTATGTACGTACGGACGGACGGAAGTGACGTCAACCAAGCCATGAAGTATCAACTCGATATGGTTTACCATTTTTTCTTAAGTATGGTGCTCCGCTCGCGCGGGCTAAAAAAAAGGTATATATGATGAAATGCATTATTGGCTTTTCTGTTCAGGTTGATTTTGAAAAATTCAGTGAACTACTGTAGTCTTAAAGTCTACTGTAGTAAATGGGACTACTGAAAACACATTGATTTGCTTTTTCTGAATGACTGAATGACTGAATGACTGAATGACTGAATGACTGAATGACTGAATGAC